GAGAATGGCACTGAGGGGAGTTTGAGAATCGAGCGTGGCTAAATTTCCGGACGCAGGGAGGCGCGGCGGTCAGGATCAGCCACAGGTTGCGCCCGCCTCGTTCACGCAGGCCGGGCATCTTGGCTGATCGCAAAGCGGGGAGGACACCCTCTCTGCCGAAGCGACAGAAAGAGAAATCGATTAACTTAACATCCAGTGCTATACGTTCTTTCTCGACGGCCACGGTTGGAGCGTTGCGATTTCGATCGCTTTTCGAACTAGACTTTCGTGCAAAGGCTACGCGATATGGAGATAGGAGAGCCAGTTGCAAATCGGGAGATTTTTTAATATTTATGGTATCGTTAGTAGCTCGCGCATCGATTTCATTCGACAGCGTTGCGTATTGAAACGTTTCATTTTACGTTCGGTTAACTGCTATATATTTATTTCGTTTACCGCGAGAGGTTAACTGATTCCGTTCGAGTAATTGACCTGTGACTTGATGCAGCGATTGGAAATATGGCGTTTTCTAACGCCCTTTTGATCTAGAATTTGAGTAGGGAAAATTCTGTATCGAAGAGACTTTTCATTTTCAGGCAGAGATATACAAAATTTCCGGATTTGTATAAATTTTGACGTGTTTGGTATAATTTTAATGGTCGTGTAGTTTGGTTTGAAAAATTTATAAGGAAATAGATACAACGTTATTAAAAATTTCTAATTCGAGTAACTGACTAGTGAATTGAAGAAACAGATGGAAATGTGATATTCTTCGAAAATTTATATTTTTAGTAGAAACTAAAATTTCAAATATTAAAAGATATTCTATATTGTGAAGAATAATTTTATTGAAAGAATGATGTAAATTAATAATTCGCATAAAAAGAAGGTAGGAGTGATGTTCGTCAATTTGTAAATCAATCAAATATTAAAACGTTGAAGTTTACGTAAGATTTAAAAATATCATTTTGTCAAATTTAAAAATATTAAGCATTTTTAAAGAAGAACGAATATAGGTTACTTAAATATTTCACATTTTCGATAATTTCGTATTTTAATAAGTTATTCATGAATTTCATTTAATTTATTCATAATATGGTATTTAATTAAAAAATTATCACAACATATGTATTATTTATGCTTTAAAAATATTTTTGTACTAACCTTTGAATAAAATTATACTTTGTGCAAACCTTATCTTAATTTTATTAAAAAAACGTAGCCGCTAATAATGTCAATTTTATGAGTATTTATTGATACTATCAGTAATGATAGTATTATAATAAAAGAGGCCAATTTTCTTATGTACTGTCCTATAAATATAAAATGAAGCCACTTTGGAGTAACATTTATACGTTAATTACATGTAAAATAATATAATAAATTTTCCATTAATGAAAATACAACATATATTCTATTTAATAATTTTTTACATCGATTTTTTATCCGAATAATAAATACTCACCAACAATTTTTTTTGAAGCATTCTACACTTATATTTCGTAACAAAAAGAATTGTTAAACTTAATTAATTAAAAATATATTTTCGACTTCTTTTAAATTTAATTTTGAGAATTAAAAGATACGAAAGTTCATCGATTGTAATTGCATTCGACCGCTATAACGAGCATCCGTATTTTGTTACAAAGATAATAAAATTCCTTTTAATATATAATTTATTTATTTATTCACGTATTTGAAACGAAATTAAATAACTAACGTTAAGGAAACATCAAAAATTTATATGATACAGCCTTTAGAACTGTAATTAATCATTTTAAAATTACTCCTGTATAATATATAAATATAATTATAAGCATTTTCGTCGCAAAAGTATTTGTATTTGGGTATATATTACTCTGGCAAAAACAGAAATCGTGACTTTACCTTAGAGTCATTTTAATTATGTGATTATCACAATTCATTTCCTTGAAAGCTGAAAATATTATACAATATCATGTTCGATAATGTGAAATAATCCTTACTGGGTTTGTGCAATGATCTACATTGCACGTCGATTACAGAACAGCGTGTTTGTAGTAGAATAAATACAATCGTTCTTTATACTACAGGACTATTCATGGCAAAGCAAATATGCTCGAGTATAGGACCAATGGAATTACAATAAATATCCACAGCCAACCACATACACGATATCTGGAATAATTCCTATTAAGCACTTTCCATCACCTGTTTACCCTGCTTTGCATTCACTTCAAAAAGTTCCTCACGTTATAGCTAAAACTATTCACAAAGATCTAAATTAGTATCAGTAATTTGCTCGAGTTCGAAATTAATCGTAATTAATAATTGCACGGTAATTAATAATTGAAGGTACAGGAAAATTGAAAAATGAGACAATTTCTGCTGGAAACATTGCCAGCTCGTTATAGACTGGAAAATGAGGATAAATAAAAATATTTTCACGAACATGGACGCTTTTCCGAAGATGAGGATGTATGCAGGAATCACGCAGTCGCGCATACTACTCTCTCACTATGGAATGCGGGACGATGAACCCGTCTGAACTGATTGGAGGGCGAAAGCCAAAATGAGATCTCGTTGCAAGCTGCAGTTTTATTCCCCGACGTTGCATTTCAAAATTTCGAACCACGTTAGAAATTATGTGCCGGAAAATTGATAAAACGTGGCGAAAGGAAATTTTACATGTTCGTTCGAAATACTAAATTCTTATTTCCCTGTATTTTCTATTATGAATCTGGTAATCGATATATTAGCTGTATCCTTTCTTTTCTGTATATATGTAAGAAGGAAATCCTTGATTCGTACATAATACGTGATATGTTATTCGAAGCAACAAGTTACTTACTATTCCTTTTGCAGTACTGCAGTGTTGTAATAGAGTCGTAGTTGTATTTTAATAATTTTATACCTGTGGAAGGTAAATATTTTCAAATTTTGTAGAATTCAATATTGTGAAGTATTTAAAATATAATGGATTTTCTAAAATAATTTAGGAGTATTTAGAAAATAATGGATTTTCTAAAGTAATTTAGGAATATATAGAAAATAATGAAAAATAATAAAAGGCTACAGAGATACTGGAAATATGGAGATTTTTGATTAATTTGTATCATTATCTATGTTTTAATAATAATTATTAAAATTATTCACAACGTGTGTATTAATATTAGAATTATGAACCAGTAATATATACCTGAATATAGTATATAGAGATGATATTAATACTGAAATGAGTCAAAGTTTATTGTTTCAAATATTTCTTTTTAGCACTTGCTGTAAACGTGTACCTAATTTGGGTCAAGATAATGATAATGATTTCTATTAAGATTAAAATGTAATTATATATACATACATATCTTCATCATGGTCTTTTAATTATTATCAATTATGTATATTTTATATAAACTATATTTGTTCCATTTATTATATAATGTACTGTGAGTATAATGTAATTAATAATTATGGATATTATTATCTATACTGATTATGTGTATTATTCCAAGCTCAAGATACAAATTTTTATCATGTTACAATTTAAGTACGTTACTTATAAAAATTGTAATTTTTAGAAATAAACATAATATTGTACGAATGACTTCTCTTTTATACTGGTTTAAATAGAATTTATATTTAATAAAAGTTTAATTTATTTTATCAAAATCAAGTATAAAAAATTAGACATCGGTAAATATTCAAGTGGACAGAGTTTGTGAGACACACTATATATGAAAATATATAATTATTACGTTTCTATTTTAATAAAAACCTTCGTTAATTTTTCCAAAAACAGCTGTATGTTTTCAGTATCTGCAAAATAAAAAATTTCGTTATCAGTTATTTTGATTGATATACTAATTCTTGTATTAAATTTGCAGCAACAAAGAAATAATTCAGATTGTCGTATCTCTCATTTTATACACTTAACAAAAATAAGAAGAATCATATTTCGTGTTAATAATTATATCTTACCTGCAGTTTGATGTTTATAGTATTATATTCCTGATAGTTTTTTGGGCAACATATTAATTAAAGTCGTTTTTGTAATTATTTGTTTATAAAAAGCAGGAAGGGAGATAATGTTGAAGAACTGTGAAAATAGTCGTATAAAAAAATTTCTTTCCCAATTTTATCAGGAGTAAAGTTATTATCGCAAACCTGGTGAAGAGAAATTTAGGACTTAAATTCCAGTTTACTTCTTCAGTGCTCTATTTATGTTCCATTTCAACTTCCGTTTCACCGAGTAAATAAAATCATAAATTTGAATCGAAACAGCTTTCATTTTAAGCATAAAACTGCCAATTCGTGAGTAACAATGACGAAAGTCTATATACATTCCTTTCAATAAAAATAAAAGCTAAACGAGATGACATTCTTCTGCCGTTATTAAAAATATGAATAATCTTTTGATTTTTCTTATGAAACTGTAAAATTCAAGTTCTATTAATTTAATAAATTAATAAGTTAAATTAATATCTAGTAATTATTTAATTACAATATTATAATTTATATAATATATAAATTTCATCTTTAAATTAAATTAATATTTATTGAATTATTATTTAATTAAGAGTTGATAACAATTATTTGTTTCATGTCATTTAATAGAATCCTAATGTACAAAATTGTAATTTTCCAATTAATAGCCTCTTATGACCGTTTATTTACTCCACAATAGGTACTTCATTATAAGTTAAGTGCTCACGTATGCGTAAAATGATTCAATTCGCTAAAGAACATAATTAACGAAATCAATTTGTTGTAATCATCGCGGATGAAATAAATAAACAAGTCGAAGTTATCTGAAATGATTAATTATTTGATAGTGATTTTGCAACTAAAACTACATTCCATATCTGCATTACAAATCTCAAATTAAACGATAATCGTGTTACTCTGTAAAAAAAGAAAAATATAAAAATTGAAAAATTATTGGTTACAAGCACCGACTGTAAAAGTAGAATTGATCGATAAGTTATCTATAATTTGATAAAGAAGTCGAGCAGATATTCGATACTCAACGACCTCATAAGACCGTATGCAGTCTTTGTGAAGATATACAGTACTCTACTTTATTCTTACAAAAATGCAGGTACGTAATAAATCAGCGTTTGATCCTTGCATTATAAAAATATACACCTTGTTTATTCGTCTTGCACAATCAACGTGTACCAGATGTCATTCCACATCGGTGAAAATGAAGTTATATTGTTTCACACATGGCATCCGTGGAATTGGGAGGAGCTTGGATGGTCGATGTTTGGAATTGCTCTTTTGACATGTATATACGAAGGCATAAAGAGCTATCGGTGAGTAATCTTGTCTTGAGTAACGCCTGTGTGACAATATACATAGAATTAACAGAGTGTATCAATTTAATTTCTTCTTTACATTTTTAGTGACCATTTGTTCATCAATGTAGCACGTTCAAGGAAAACTGAGGGAAAAAGATCTAGAATGTATGTATTTTTCTTTTCTTCATTTACATATTTGTATTGATCTGGAATTTATTGCAAATACGAACTTACAAAGTGTTATTTATACCTTTTGTATGTAATTTATATACCTTTATTTGGTTATTTTGCAGTACTAGAAACACATTTCAGAAACAGAATATAAATAATTAAAGAAATAAGATATAAGAAATTTAACGAAGAAATATATTTGTTTAATTTTGTGTAATCTTAGAGGCAAAGACTGGTGCGATAATAATACTTCATATGCACATCGAGTACAAAATGGATACTTTCCTGATAAAAATGAAGTTACTAACTTTTCCAAAAATATAATTAATTGGTAAAAAAATTATTGAAATGAATTCTGTGGCAATAAATATATCAAAAGTTTTGCCCAATAACGTGAAATATCTGATACAACTAAATCTGTTCTAAGTATATTACAACTTCGTTAAAGTATGTTCTCAAGCCTTCTTCTATGTGACCACATTTTCCTTCTATATTTTAAAATACTAACTTACAAATCGTTATGTTAAATAACCCCATAAATTGGTCATAGACAAATTGTAATTTTGTTGTAACGATATTTTTCTTTTTCAGATCATTGCTCTTTTCCAGAATACATATTCTTCAAACAGTCGCCCATACTCTACAACTGGTGATAGGGTATTGCCTTATGTTAATTTTTATGACTTACAATATTTGGCTGTGCCTTGCTGTAGCAGTCGGCGCGGCCCTTGGTTATTGGCTGTTTGCTTGGGAAAAGTCCAGTGGTGATAATATCGATTGCTGCTTGTAAATTCTATACCATACGCATGTTGTACCATAATTCTAACTATCGTTATATCTTTCGTAAAAATTACGTATCTTGCACACTTATTTATAAATGCGTCGATTAATATAATAATATTTATTCCAAATTAACAATATAAGATTTGTTTACTATGTTAATTACGAGTAAACATTATTATATTCGTGTATATTTATAACGAAAGTACTATACATTTATAAATATCTCACGTGCCAATTTTACTGCAAACATGTTAAAAGATATTATTTATTAAATGAAGATATTCTCATTTAATAATTATGAAACTAAAATAAAATTCACATTAATTATATATATATATATATATTATTATTACCACTTTTTCTATGTACTATTATTGAAGATTTAAATGTAAATATAAAAATGCTATACATATACTCATAAGTTTGTAAATAAATCGTATTAAAAATTAGCAATATAAAAGTAAAATTATACGAAAATTTGATAATGTAAAAGTAAGAGATAAGTATCGCTGTGACTGCAATAATACTCTAATCGATTGAACACGTTCGCTATCTAATCAGAATTTTCAATTTATTATGGAACGTAATCAATATTTCGATCATTCGGTGTGTCGCCGGTGCAGAGAAATTATCATAGATTAGAAATAAAATATTTTGTAGTACGAAGAATACTATTACAAAAATTAAAAATGGAAGGTGATAATCGAAGTACGGAAACAATGTGCAGCAGGGACTTGAGATTTGCGTCAGGAAGAAAGTCTTTGACAGTGAACCAAATAATATTCGGATGGGATAAATTTAATAGTATAACATTCCTTGGCATTGTAATACTCTTTTGTATTTGGTCTATAGTATTTTTTCTGATGCATAATTCGGCTACTATGGTTAATAACGAGCATTCGAATCACCATCATTAGGAAAAGCGGTCATTTGGTTCTTCAGTGTGTTAAATAATACGTAAGTACTATATATATACATATATAATATCTTTTATGCTTTGATGTGTACAATACTTAATAAATGTATTTTGTTGAAAACATAAAATGAGAAATGTAAGTGAAATGTGTATATAAACTGAAAATTTTTATATGAAGTTTGTTATAATTACTAATTATTATTAAGATAGTAGTATACAATGAAGTATCGATATCAATTAGGTTGTTTTTACGACAAACATACTGCAATGGAACAGTAATAGTAAACTTTATTATTAATTTTAATATGATAATTTAATATGATAGTTACAGTTTATTACAAATTATTAATTAATAATTTATTCAATAGTGTACTCTGTTTTTATAACAAATGTATTATAGTATTACAGTTACAGTATATCTTATTATTAATTTTAGTATAATGTTGTATTTATAGTTTATTGCAAATTATTATCGAATAACATTTAATAAAGTAATAATTATAGAATACATTTCTCTTACTTCATTATAATTAACTATACTTTAAGACCATTTAATTTTATGTTCTTTGAATATTTCTGATTAATTTCAATACTAAGTTTGTTTGTCATAGAATCATTAAGTTGTTATATCGTAAACAGTTTTCAATTACACCAATTTCTGTTATTTCATATAATTTTTATTATCTTATTATATCATGGAAGAACTTTTAGCAAAGTAAAACAGTATATTATAATATTATTTTGTTTTAGGTATAATGAAATTCCTCGAATTATCTGAAGAAACAAGAAAATAAAGCTATTCCACAGCAAAGTAAAAATGGAATAAATAACTTCAATGTTACTTCTATTTCTATTTTTAATTAAACAAATGAAATCTAAACGCTTCTACAAAATTTCGAGTAGACATTACAATTTATACAATTTAAATAATTATACTTAGAACTGTAACTGTCTTTCACTTTATTTAATTTACTTCTTACGTTTACAATTTATTTAATATCCAAACTATTAAATTCTTAATTCATAGTTAAAATATTCCCATTCCATAGAAACATTTATTCCTTATTCTGTATTACAGTATTTTGATTATTAAATTTTTAATTCATCAATTATAATATTTCTAATTATAGCTAATAAATAAATTCAGAACCTTATCAACAATCCTGAGAAATATCATCCAACGCATATCCTCACAAAAATTTTCTATATCACAATATTTTGATTATTAAATTTTTAATTCATCAATTATAATATTTCTAATTATAGCTAATAAATAAATTTAGAATCTTATCAACAATCCTGAGAAATATCATCCAACGCATATCCTCACAAAAATTTTCTATATCACAATATTTTAATTATTAAATTTTTAATTCATCAATTATAATATTTCTAATTATAGCTAATAAATAAATTTAGAATCTTATCAACAATCCTGAGAAATATCATCCAACGCATTTCGTCACAAAAATTTTCTGTATCTGACAAACAATCACTGTTTGTGTAGCAAGCGTATCGAAAGGTGTCAGATATTGAACGATATCCTCGTTAAAATTGGTAACGAGGCGACATAAATGTTTGTTCTCTCGAATGAAAGGAGAATCATTACAATAAAACAGCGTTCGTTCCTTAAACAAAAATCAAATCACAAATAATCCGTGTATCTATTTCTCATTCATTTTCATCTGCTTTCTGGCGGAATGTAGACACGATTCACATAGGTAGTACGAACCGTGAAGTCATTATACTTGACACGACAAGTCCCGCACAATTTCACGTTGCGTTTTATCCACCCCTTCGTGAAAAGAGGGACAGAGCAAAAGTGAAGTGCGTTTCGTCACGATACCCGTTACGAAACTGGTACAGAAATGTTATATGATGCAATCGATGGAATAAAAATCTGTCGAAATTTTATTCCTACTTTAAACATTATTTATTTCACATACTTGTAAACGAACGGTTTTTATTGCGTGAAATTTTTCATGTGGTTAGAAAAAAATTTATTCGCTCAATGTATTTTGAGTATTTAATTATTCACGTAGTTGAACTTATTTCTTTTATTTTAATTATGATATTTTTTTCGTTTATAATATTTTATCAATGATATTAAAAAGGAATTATAATTGGTAACATGTTATATTTTAATCGTACTTTTTAATTGCTCAATTATTTGCACATTTCACGATTTATATATGTTTCTCGTAGTTATATCACATTCTAAATATTATTAAATTTCTTATTTTTTAAACTTATTTTTCTGCACTAATTTCTACTTTTTAGTTACAAACTTCAGAAATATTTTGTGACACGTAACAGGTATAGTATTGTGTATGTATAATCTTGTGGAGGGGGAAAAAATAATGTTTTTATTAGGAATATTGTAATAACAAATCGTAGGAGCAAACATAATTTAAAAATGAATGTTATGAAATTTATAGTGACTACTTTGAATAGCTAAAAATATGAGTATGATTCTACTAAGCAAAAAAATTATGCAACAATTAATACAGGTAATGTAAATATTAATATTTAATGGGACTATATTATTTCTGTAATTTTTTCAATTTTCTATAGTGATACAAAAATACATTATTTATTTGTAAATAAATTAATAATATTAAGCAGCACATCTAACAGAGAAAAAAATATTATATATTCTTCTTATTATTATTGTACATTACAAATACTATACACAATATCTATATAAATAAAATACCAAAATTTACTTAATAATGACTAATTATGAACAATTAAAAAAAAAATAGAAATATAACTGATTAATTTAACAAATGAGAAAAAATGATAGTAATATCAGGAATGATAACATATCATACTAAACGTTATAAATTTGTTGAATGGTTATATCATTATATAAAATGTAAGTAAAATTATACATAATATTAATTTAAAATAAAACCAAATTTAAGGTAAAATTTTTCTACCATAAATCTCACAATTTAGCACTAAACCTATCACAGCTGGGTAAATGACCGATAAAAAGGTGAAAGAATTGAAAGAAAGAAGATATTGAAAAATTAATTATATATACATACATGTGCATGTATATATGTGTGTATATTAAGAAAAGTCGTGACGTCAATTGAACCAAACGATAACGTCAAACATAAATCATTTAAATAAAAGTTATAGAACTCTTCTTTAATGTTAATGATAATGGTAAGTCTAATGATAATGATTCAACGACTCTCAATCAGCTGTAATTGTAATAACCAAATTTAGCAAGATACACAAATATCTAATCACAAACGACTGAAGAACAGCAAGATCAATATACCTTTTATTTTTAAATACGAGGTCCAACAATTTCCAATGTACACACTGATTTATAAATTCCCCTAGAACAGGAGACTACGAAATATTATCACCAACGAATAATACGTACTGTGAAACAATTTTCACGATTATATAGGTACAAAAATAATTGATATCTACACAACAACAGCTCACGTCCTCGGTAACAGAATGACATATAAACAATGAAGTTGGATCAGTCAGCACCAACATGCAGCAACCAGAAATCCCTATGCTTTATGTCACGTTACCGAGCAACATTGTTCAGTTGAACGAAGTAAGATTCGAGGTGGACACAAAAGAACGTCACCAGGAACAGTTTCATCGATCGATCGTCGATAAGTACGTATCGAAGTTATATTGTTTCCGGGATAATGTCACGTGCTTATTTCGATTCTTTTACCACTGTTCGAGGGCAGAGTCGACGAGAGATCAACAGTTATCGCGCAACCCTTTTCGTTTCAGCGCTATTCATCCGCTTTTTTCCTGAGACACACCCTCTCGACTTCACCACATCCACCTGCCTTGGGCGGCCTTTGTGCATTAAGCCTTTTGAACCCGATAATCCATAGAGATTGCAGCTCAACGGTTCGTGGTCTTTCACCTTTTTATTTTCTTTTTTTTTTTCTCTGTCAGAACTTCCTCCCGCTTTCCCCTTCGAACACAGCCATTTACAGCGCGAGCATATTTATCGTATGACCAAGTACGATGCACGTACGTAACTATTTCGGGCCGCTCCCTGCAGCATGATTTCCCAGCGACACGCGTTTTATCGGTTAAGCGTGACTGACAGCTGTTTACCGACCACATTAATTCTGAATCACCTAGATCACTTGGAGGAATTAAAC